GAGACAAGCAAGGGAATGCAAATCCTCAGAATGTCGCTCATCCAATCATTTATTTAGGTTCTAAATGTAAGCTTCAATGTATGTCACTCATAAGGTTAAATCCAGTTTCACCAGTCTGCAATCTGTCTCACTTTAGACGACCAAAAGCCTCACTCCCCACTTTTCCCCTTCTTGACAACATTAAAAAAATGGATGAGGTAAACAAAGACTCTTACAAAATGCAAAATACTGCAGATGCTGGAAATCTGAAAACAAAAACAGAAGTTGCTGGGAACACTCAGCAGGTCAGGCAGCCTGACCTGCTGAATGATCCCAGCGACTTCTGTTTTTGTTTTCAGAGACTCTTACAGGCTGGCGTGACAAGGTTCAGTTACAAGATGTTTTAATGTCAAGCATAAGGTGGTAAGAAGAAGATAATATCTGCAGTCCAGGGTGCACTGGAAATATTATCAAAGTGCCAAACAAATCACATTTCTGCATGAAGTCACATGTGGTGGAATGAGGTGAGAATAGTTATTTCTGAATGTGGAAGCCTTAAGCCCTGAGTATCAGGTAGAACAACATTCAAATGGCCAAAGTCATCAAGCAAACATATTCTTTTACCCTAGGTCACATCTGAATCAGTGGTGAGCAGACAGGAGATACACAGAAACTTGCTGAAGTATTTGCTATGAAGGTTGCAGAAGGAGCGTAGGGTGAAGCAGGGGAGGGAATTGCCTTCTCTAAAGTACAAAAGCAGAACAGAGTTCTCCCTTAATACAGCTTTGTGGCATCACACTCAGAACATACAACTGTTGTCAGCGCAATACCACCGAGCTCTGGGCTCTAACATTCCAGGATTTAAAGTGACCTTCAGTCTCTCAAGCCTGGTGTTCTTTTAGTTATCATGTGAGCAGTAATGGATGAGGCAATTTCCTCTTGATAAAAATATTTTTCATATATTTTAAAAATATTATTGTATTTGAAAGGCACAACATAATCTTAATGTTCAAGTGGTCCTTCTTTGCTTTAATTACCTTAAACAAATAGTGGTGAATATGTGAAATAAACTGCCCAGAGAAGGGAGGTGGAGGAAGATTGTGTCAGCTAATTCAAGAAGGTATTATTAAGCTATTTGGATAATAAATTAATAATAATTCTTGCAATTGATGTAGTGCCTGTCACTTTGGGATGATGTCTCAAAGTTGTTCACAGAATATACTGTTATGTGGTGACCATATTTTGTAAGTAAACACAGCTGCCAAATTGCATACACCAATGCTCCACAAACAGTGATGAAGTGAATGATCAATTTAATCTGAAGGATTATTGGCTAGTTCACCACGAGAAACACTCTTCTCTGTCCCAGTAGTTCTATGGATCTTTAATGCCCACCTGAACAGGCAGATGGGATAAATCGCATACACTGTATCCCATTCACCTACAAGACATATGGTCATTACAACTTTATAGGGTTACCTGTGAAGCACTTTGAGACACCATCCCGATGTGAAAGGCCATATCAAATTGAAGGTTATTATTATCATTATTATTATGGGACATCAGTTGAAATTTCTCATCTAAAGAATGGCACTCCAACAACAATACAGCATACCAGTGTCAGCCTTGACTGATGTGAGTCCCAACGTGAGGCTTGAACCTGTTACCTTCTGACTTAAAGCTCAGAGTGCAACCGTCTGAGCCTGGCTGTCACCTAAAAGTTGACTGAGGGTACAAGAGATGATTTAGTGAAGAATTGTTTTTTTACTTTAAGACCAGCTAGATGGACAACAATTGTCTTTTCCGATCCTGAACAATCTTACTCTCTTTCATATTTTCTCTTCAATTGCCTGGAATATTCTCCTTATGCTATATACAGTGATATTACAATAGCAGAAAACAATTGAATGAACAACAGAGCACTCCATTTACAAACAATACTGCTGTCCCTGCACTTAATCAAATACAAAGTAACATGGATCATATTAAATCCCCTTACCCCGTGAAGAGGGCTCTATAAATACAAGTCGTTATTTTTGTTATTGTTGTTGGTGGTGGTGATGCTCATTGTACACTACACTGTAATAGTAATAATAATAATAATAATCCTTGCATTTGATACAGCACCTTATCACGTCTTTGAGACGTTGCAAAGCACTTCAATTGTCCCTCAGTTTTGATGAGAAATTTGAAGTCTTGGTTTTTATAGGATCATAGGAGAGGTTTTGAATGAAGATCTCACTTGTAGAATACCAACACCATTCTCCCATCACAGCATCAAGCTGATTTTGAAATGTCTAACCTCAGCTAACCTTCCATGAAACCCATTCCAGTCATTGTGTCTGTACTGAAATACCCCTTTGCAACCCTGAACCAGTGACCTCTTGTTGAGTGCTCTCATTGCATCTGAAAGAATTTATTTTTGTTTCTGGCTCTCCCTTTTTCAGCAAACTCTCCCAACTTCAAACTTCACGAGAACCTTAAAAGTTACTCAACCCAGCAAAACACCAGATTTGAGATCTAAAATTATGCAGCTGCAACTTTGTCGATTCAGTTTCAAATTTCACTACAAGTCATACAGAATACAGAACAGTCTGTGATCTAATTCCCAAATATGAGTTGGCAGGAATAATACCACAAAGCAGTACAAAATCCTTTTAAAAAACAATGATCTCTGTCTGATCTTGTTTCCAAACATGTTTTGTCATAAAATGGAAATTCTCCAAATTAAAACAAAAAAGCCTCACAGCCTATTGATTTCAAACCTCAAAAGCAAATGAACAGCAATTCATAACAATTTTTTTCCAATTTTTAACAGAGTTTGCAAGTTATTAAAAAAAAATTGGTCATTTCAATCCACGACTGTTTGTGGGACACTGCTGTGCGCAATTGGCTGCCGCATTTTGCCCACAAATATATAGTCAATTCACTTTGCAATCTATTCTGTGAAGCGCTTTAAGATGTCTAGAAGGTGTGAAAAGAGCTATATCAAATGCAAGGATTATTATTATTATACTTCAAAAAGATCACTCACACCGCTTCAGATTGAAACACGTTTTTCATTCAGCTTCTATTGAGAGAGAGCGGAACAAGAAAAAAATAAGAAACAGAGTTTTTGATCACTTGCTTTCAAAAGAAAACAACTTGCATTCAATAGAAGCTGGTTCACAAATGTGTTTCAGTGTGAAGGATTATGAATGAGCTGTCTAAACTATCAATTGTAAACTTGCTGTGTACTGAATTTTACATAACGTACACACACTATAGTTGCAAGATAAATTAAAAGCTGCAATCCAGAGAATAGATTCAGAGAATAATTAAAATGTTCCGAGTTCCACACCACCAGTTTATGTCAAGTGAACCTCTTGACTACATTCTCGTAACTCACACTAATGTCCCCAACACTCTATTTATTCAGAGTGCATGATTCCAGGATGGGCAACTCATACATCAATCTGTCACCTAATTGGTTAGCAGTCCCAATGGTATTTCAATATTGATTTAAATTAACACTCAAAATTCAATCAAAAGACATGGACAACAAAAGAGCAGAATAGTTAATTGGTAGCAATGAGTTCTAAGTGTTCTTTAACTTTTAATCATTTGCTTTCAAAACAAAATATCAGTTCATATGGTGACCACAGAAAACCCTGCTCTATTGCTGAGAGCCAAGTATTAGCAACAATACCAATATGTTGCTGCAGGTATTTTTCCTCTGTTTACCGAGCAGTAAGTAGGAAACCTGTTGTTAGTCGATTGGTGGATCGCTTTCTGGGGGGAAAAATCCTTTTTTAAAAAAAATTGTCACTCACTCCTCGACTGTTTGTGGGAACTGCTGCGTGAAATTGGCTTCCGTGTTTTACCCACAAAGTACACAGTCACTGCACTTTACAGTATTTTCTGTGAAGCGCTTTGAGATGTCTTGAAGATGTGATAAGACGTTATATAAATTGCAAGGATTATCCTTTCTAACCAACTATCCTTTCTAACCAACATCCGTGCCATGATGCACTCTGCCTTCCCCCACCTCCACAACATCGCCCGGCTCCGCCACAGTCTCACACTGCAGGCCGCTGAGACCCTTATACACGCATTCATAATATCCAGGCTCGACTACGGAAACTCCTTGCTTGTCGGTCTCCCCAACTTCTCCCTCCATAGGCTGCAGATCATCCAGAACTCTGCAGCCCGTGTCCTCTCCCGCACCAGGCTCCACTGGCTTCCCATCACACAGAGGATACAGTTCAAGATCCTGGCCCTCACCTTCAAAGCCCTCCATGGTCTTGCTCCTCCCTATCGCTGCGAGCTCCTAACTCCCTACCATCCTCCCCATTCTCTCCGTTCAGCGGGCTCTGGTCTGCTTCACTTACCTCAACCGCTCCACCATTGGCGGGCAGGCCTTCTGCCACTCTGCCCCCACCCTCCAGAACTCCATCCCACAGTCCCTCTGCCTCGCCCCCTCTTTTGCCTCCTTCAACATCTGTCTCAAGACCCTCCTCTTCGACTGTGCCTTCGGTCACCCTCCTTCCCCCCCTGCCCTCCACCCTCCCCGATCCCGATCATCAGCTCGGATCCGAAATACTAATAAATTTTGTTTATTTTGTTCAATAAAAAACTGGAAACAAAACTTTGATTTAAAATGGTCACCTAGACTAGTGCCAATGTTCAGTGGCCACCTCTTGATGGCCCCATGAGCTATGGTTGGCCACCACTGATCTAATAGCACAAATGAATCACTAAAACAAGTTTAATTTACTCATAAGGTCCTGCAGGTTCCATAAGAATAATTACAAAAGTTTAGGTTACTGTCTTACTCAAACCTACTGTTTGGACTTGTTCAGGGCAATGATCATATGTTCACACTTTTAAAGTTCTTGTAACATTTCTTTTCACAACAACTAATCTTGATTTAGATGACATAAAAATGAATGCTTTTTTTTCACTGAAAATTCTTTAAAAAAATGAAGGCACTAGGTTTATCTAGTTACATACGGTCCAGGAAGATTTGCTGACTGACATACCCTCCAGTAGCACTTCCTTTCCAGCTCTCTTGAGTACTTGCACTGCCTCGTCATGGGTTGCGTCCCTTAGGTCAGCTCCATTCACGGACAAGATCGCATCGCCCACGTACAGAGCCTCCGTCTGATCAGCCGCCAGACCCTTGAAGATCTTCGAGATCAGGATCGGCATCTTGTTTTCTTTGCCTCCTTTGATGCTGATGCCCAGCCCCCCGACCTCTTGCTTGAAGAAGAAGGAAGAAACTGTTAATCACATTGAAATCAGTGAGCATCACACTTGAGCCCTCCCCAACAGCAAATCATTTATAATACTATGCATGGAAACACTGCACACCAACCCTGCTTTCTATATACATCGAATCCTAATGACCCTGATTGTTCAGTGCCTTGGGACGTCCTCCCGACGTGAAAGGCACTTTACAAATATAATTTAGTATTGTATTGCTCAATTCCTCACCTTGTTCAAGGTCCATCTCAAGTCCCTTACCTCTTACTTCTTTGAAGGTCCTTTTTGATTATCTTTCCCCTACTTAACCACCTCGGCTCCCACTCCTAGCTCGAGTGCCAAGCAATGATTATTAAGAAGCCTTGGGACTTCCTCCCGACATGAAAGGCGCTAGATCAATGTAAGATTGTACTTTTCCCTTTCTCATTTCCAAAAGACATTTGTTGCTTTGAGATATCCTCCTGGTGTCAAAGGCACTACATAAACATAAGTTATATTGTTTTGTCTCCATGCAGTTGGGAGATGTGCAGTTTTCATTGTTGGCTTGTAGGCTAATTCAGCACTACTCTACAATTGGAGCAAGGAAGGCTGACTGCGGGATTGAAATAGCACTCATCAGGAAAACAGTGTAATTGGTGCCTTACACTGGACAAAACACTTTAGGACATAAAGTGTGTCTCCCTCAGGGAACCCCATACATGCTCCGCTGGCTTGCAAAAATCCAGCTCCAAAGTAATCTTAAATTGGATCTGCATTCTATTTGGAGTAATGCACTTTATGGCATAGGCATACTTTCGGCCACACAACTCTTTTTCCAATGTGAAGCACCATTTATGGTGCCCTTTCCCAACCAGCAGTTTTCTATCCCTGTCAGTTTTTTTCTTGCTTCCTCCAGTGTTACCTGCCACAAGGAGAGGTGGTGAAAATTATGAATGTTATTTCCATTTCAAAAATGGGCAGTTGTACTTGTAATGTCCTCTTTGTCAATCCCAAATCCTGCAGCTAAAGGTTAGAATTGAGTAGCTGGGATTGCTAAAAGAATGTGATTTTGACCAGTTCCCTTGCTTGTATTCTTTAACGTTCAAGCTATTTTATTATCATGGAATGCAATTTCTAAATGACGCAAATAACACTGAACTGTACAGTAATTCAAAGAGAGTACCAATTCTTGTATATGTAAAACTATCAAAACTGACATTGTTATAGAGTAAAGAGTGGAGATCAGATTTTTTCTTTTTTAATTCTTGCCAGATTCATCTGAAAAAAATTAAATCAGATTGTGGTCATGTAGGATCAGAGGCAAATCTCAAATTTCTGAAACCATTTAAGGAAAAAACACTTGATGTCACTAGATCTACTGCACAACACTAGTACATTGCTGGATGTCCATCAAGAGCAGTTAGCCAAGTTAGTAAATGATCCAGTCTCTTTTGCTCATAGTCCGCACCTTAATATAAAATGAAATTAAATTGGTTTGAATATTTTATATTCATAGAAGTAAATCTCAAGTGAAGAAATTTATCTTGTACTACACCACGTAATGGTGTATTAAAGTATTCAAATAATAATATAATAATCCTCACATTTGTTACAGCGCCTTACATGTCAGGAAGATGTTTCAAAGTACTTCACAGAATTTATGGTATAATGTAATGATTTGTGTATTTTGTAAGCAAACATAATTTACAAAGAGATATTTCAGGAAATAATACATTTCCCATACTGCTCATTAATTCAGTGAAGATGGCTATTATCTTTACTGCCCTAGACATGTCATAACATTCAGGCAATGTAGTACGTCAAGATGAAACCTCTCTCCCAATCACACCATCTATTTGTACCTGTGCGGTGATAATCATAGACCATGCCTTACTGTTATTAATTACAGTAACAGAAAATAAATTAAAGCAGCTTCCCTTTTGTGCATGGGTGTATAGTTGGATACACTTCTAACACAACTTAGCAAAATGTTGGACTCGAAACCTAAAATCTCCCAATCCTTGTCTCACATCACATCCGATTCTGTGATTATGTAGTGCTCTGAGACTTATCCTATAGGAAGGATACTTTTTTTTGTCAGCTGGGTGTCTGATACATGCGGAAACCCATTACCAAACCAAACCAAACTGAGAATCGCATGCACCCACCAACACATGGAATTCCAGAAATGGGCTGAATTATCTCACAGTCCCATCGCTGGAAGCCTCCATCACTTGGCAATAGGAGGTGGCAGACCATTCTCATCTACACCTAGAGCTCTAGCTCCTTGTGGATAATTGGCCCACAGCATTACTGTGAACTACTGAAGAAATTCACAGTACTGTGAATTCACCAACTCTCTCCTCCCACACCTCACCCATTAGGAAAGATGAAACATGGTTAAAAAAAGGAGATATCAGCAGAGGACCTGGAATTCTAACTGAGTGGTCCTTGCTATGAGTAAATTTTGCTTCTCAGTAAATACACTAAGTAATTCAGTTTACTGCTTAATCAGTGATGCTTGATTTGTGCTGCCCTCATCACCGCAATAATTTGCAGCGATGCCCCAGCACTGTAAAATGCTTTCAATTGGTGTTTCTGAAAATGCCATGTTCCTATGACAATGAAAAGTTTAAATCCAGAAATAAACAAATCCGTCTTGTTCTGCACTGTGTAACACTTGTGTTACAGTTTTCGATATAGTGTGTCCAGTACCTTCTTTTACTTCAACTATCTAAAAGTTGTTCCTGAAGCCAGATCATCACGATACAGAATTTGTACCCATTTTATGCTGTACCCGATACGCTTTATACTCTTACAGATTCCTTATGTGTAATAATGTATAATAATGCAGGGTTGGAGAGGTTATCCACAAGTCACTGAAAACACAGTCCAGCCGGGGCCTCAGCAAATACAGAGTACAATTTAACTTCAAGTGTAAGATCAATTAGCAAAAGTCACCTTGCTTTAAATGTCCCACTGCACTGTGCTTAAGGAGTAAATGGCTCAATCTAAACTCTTAGTACTTTGCTTTGGAGACTCTTAAGCATGGTGCTGGTATCCACTTGTGTCACGAATCCTGCTGACAAAATATAAAAGCTGTCCACTCGACTGAAAGATCTAGGACTGGTTCTGAACATGGCTTCAGTTCCATGGCACAGATGAGTGATCAGGATCACCGGTCTGAATTGTCTCTAGTGTCTCTTTACATTTCCAAGCTTAAATTGGAACTATTCCTGCTTGCTTCTGCCATGCTCCTGCAACTTATTTCTGGGACGAGGGTCCTCTATGCCTCCTTGTCCTTTCTATTGTCTTTGGCATTGTCGACCACTCGATCACCCTTTGCTTCATACTGGATTCCAGGTCCAATGATATTCTAACCGCTTCCCTGTCAGACATCGCCCTGATGAGCCTTTACTTTCTTCAGCACAATCTGGAGCTCCCTTCCAAAATCCCTCCTCGTCACACCTTTCTATCTGCCTAAAAGGCCTCCTGGAAAACTAACTCTACAACAACTTGAATTTATTTAGCGCTCTTCACACCAGGCGGCATCTCGGAGCGCTTATTCTACACTGTACCTCTGGTTTATCAAGCAGTGAAGATAATGTCTTGTATCTTTATCTGGATCTCAATCTGTAGCTCAATATTTCTGACACTAACATGCCTAAAACATTTTCATTATTAGAATTTTATGACAACTACAATAACTTCATTTCCTTCCACATTTTGTTGAAGTTAAGCGCAGAAATGACTAAGGGCCACCAAATAATGTAACAGTCAATAAAAGTACTAAAGAGGAAGCCACTTAATCCTCGAGATCTGCAGCAGCTAGTGGTCTCAAAAACTGGAAACATGTGATAGTACATAACTTTTGTTAATCAATTGGCAGATTGCTTTCTGGGGTTAATCTCTTCCCTCCCCCCCCCATCCCAAAAAATAGTTACTCAATCCACAACTGTTTGTGGGACACTGCTATGTGCAATTGGATGCCACGTATCGCCCACAAAATACAGTCAATTTACTTTACAGCATATTCTGTGAAGTACTTTGAGACCTCTCAACAACGTGATAAGGCACTATATGAAATGTAAGGATTATTATTATTACATACATGCCATGTTAAAATGTGGTTGTGTGTCCGCATTCAGCAAGCTGCATTTTAAAAGCAATGAAAGCATTTAGTACCCAAAGGGTTAAACACTACTTGTGAAGATCGACTGGTATTCATTTACATGTGTGCTAACCATGCCCTCTTGGCGACAAAGTGCAACAAGATTAATCATTGTCACGTAAATAATAAAAGCCCAGAGAGGCACAACTCATTAATAAGAAAAACGAAGAAAAGATCGCAAGAATGAAGCTTAAAGTGTGTTTTTTTTCCCTTCCGGATGCTAGCAATTGTCAAAACAGGACTTGAGAAGAGAACCACAAATGCTTCCCACGTAGCTGAAAGTGGAAAGCCTTGAATCGTCTAAATTTTCCGTCTGCCCCTGCAGAGAATGTGGAATAACTACGTCATGTGAGGTTTGAAACTTCCACATCAGATGTAATCTTAACAGAAAATATACATAAATATACTGTACAAGTGAGCATGTGGAAGCCTGGGCTCAACTATTGCAAACAACCTGCGTGCCCTGTTCTGAGTGCAAATGCTGAACTTGAACATCAGGATGAGTTGAAAGATTGAAATGACCAGTGAAAGCTGAATACAGAAAGGAAACGTAGGGATCAGAGAAAGACTAAACATATCTATCTGCACGCTGATAACTATTAGCTTTGTAGTCACTGAGTTGTCTCCGAAACAGTACACAAAAGTGGAAGAGAGAAGCAATAACTGTGAGTGAGTGACAGTGAGTAACAGTGAGAGTGAGTGACAGTGAGAGTGAGTGAGTAACATTGAGTGACAGTGAGTGTGTGTGAGTGAGTGAGTGAGAGTGAATGAGTGAGTGAGTGTGTGAGTGAATGAGTGAGTGACAGTGAGTGACAGTGAGTGACAGTGAGTGACAGTGAGTGACAGTGAGTGACAGTGAGTGACAGTGAGTGAGTGACAGCAAGTGAGTGACAATGAGCGAGTGACAGTGAGTGAGTGAGTGAGTGAGTGACAGTGAGTGAGATAGTGAGATAGTGAGATAGTGAGTGAGTGACAGTGAGTGAGTGACAGTGAGTGAGTGACAGTGAATGAGTGACAGCGAGTGAGTGACAATGAGCGAGTGACACTGAGTGAGTGAGTGAGTGAGTGAGCTAGTGAGTGAGTGAGCTAGTGAGTGAGTGAGTGACAGTGAGTGAGTGACAGTGAGTGAATGACAATGAGCGAGTGACAGTGAGTGAGATAGAGTGAGTGAGTGAGATAGTGAGTGAGATAGAGAGTGAGTGAGTGAGATAATGAGTGAGATAGAGAGTGAGTGAGTGAGATAGTGAGTGAGTGTGTGAGTGAGTGAATGAGTGAGTGAGACAGTGAGTGAGACAGTGAGTGAGTGAGTGAGTGAGTGAGTGAGACAGTGAGTGAGTGAGTGAGTGAGTGAGACAGTGAGTGAGTGAGTGAGTGAGTGCGACAGTGAGTGAGTGAGTGAGACAGTGAGTGAGTGAGACAGTGAGTGAGTGAGTGAGTGAGACAGTGAGTGAGTGAGTGAGTGAGTGAGACAGTGAGTGAGTGAGTGAGTGAGTGAGTGAGTGAGTGAGTGAGTGAGTGAGTGAGTGAGTGAGTGAGTGAGAGACAGTGAGTGAGTGAGACAGTGAGTGAGTGAGTGAGTGAGTGAGTGACAGTGAGTGAGTGAGATAGTGAGATAGTGAGTGACAGTGAGTGAGTGACAGTGAGTGAGTGACAGTGAGTGACAGTGAATGAGTGACAGCGAGTGAGTGACAATGAGCGAGTGACACTGAGTGAGTGAGTGAGTGAGCTAGTGAGTGAGTGAGTGACAGTGAGTGAGTGACAGTGAGTGAATGACAATGAGCGAGTGACAGTGAGTGAGATAGAGTGAGTGAGTGAGATAGTGAGTGAGGTAGAGTGAGTGAGTGAGTGAGATAATGAGTGAGAGAGTGAGTGAGTGAGATAGTGAGTGAGTGTGTGAGTGAGTGAATGAGTGAGTGAGACAGTGAGTGAGACAGTGAGTGAGTGAGTGAGTGAGTGAGACAGTGAGTGAGTGAGTGAGTGAGTGAGTGAGACAGTGAGTGAGTGAGTGAGTGAGTGAGTGAGTGAGTGCGACAGTGAGTGAGTGAGTGAGACAGTGAGTGAGTGAGTGAGTGAGTGAGTGAGTGAGTGAGACAGTGAGTGAGTGAGTGAGTGCGACAGTGAGTGAGTGAGACAGTGAGTGAGTGAGACAGTGAGTGAGTGAGTGAGACAGTGAGTGAGTGAGTGAGACAGTGAGTGAGTGAGTGAGTGAGAGACAGTGAGTGAGTGAGACAGTGAGTGAGTGAGTGAGTGGGTCAGTCAGTGAGTGAGACAGTGAGTGAGACAGTGAGTGAGTGAGTCAGTGAGTGAGTGAGACAGTGAGTGAGTGAGATAGTGAGTGAGTGAGTGAGTGAGTGAGTGAGTGAGTGAGTGAGTGAGTGGGTCAGTCAGTGAGTGAGACAGTGAGTGAGACAGTGAGTGAGTGAGTCAGTGAGTGAGTGAGACAGTGAGTGAGTGAGTGAGTGAGATAGTGAGTGAGTGAGTGAGTGAGTGAGTGAGTGAGTGAGACAGTGAGTGAGTGAGACAGTGAGTGAGTGAGTCAGTGAGTGAGTCAGTCAGTGAGTGAGTGAGACAGTGAGTGAGTGAGTGAGTGAGTGAGACAGTGAGTGAGACAGTGAGTGAGTGAGTGAGTGAGTGAGTGAGTGAGAGAGTGAGACAGTGAGTGAGTGAGTGAGTGAGTGAGTGAGTGAGTGAGACAGTTAGTGAGACAGTGAGTGAGTGAGTGAGTGAGTGAGTGAGACAGTTAGTGAGACAGTGAGTGAGTGAGTGAGTGAGTGAGTGAGTGAGTGAGTGAGTGAGTGAGTGAGTGAGTGAGTGAGTGAGTGAGTGAGACAGTGAGACAGTGAGACAGTGAGACAGTGAGACAGTGAGACAGTCAGTGAGTGAGTGAAACAGTGAGTGGGTGAGACAGTGAGTGAGTGAGTGAGACAGTGAGTGAGTGAGTGAGACAGTTAGTGAGACAGTGAGTGAGTGAGTGAGTGAGTGAGTGAGTGAGACAGTTAGTGAGACAGTGAGTGAGTGAGTGAGTGAGTGAGTGAGTGAGTGAGTGAGACAGTGAGACAGTGAGACAGTGAGTGAGACAGTGAGTGAGTGAGACAGTGAGTGAGACAGTGAGTGGGTGAGACAGTGAGTGAGTGAGATAGTGAGTGAGACAGTGAGTGAGACAGTGAGTGAGTGAGACAGTGAGTGAGTGAGTGAGTGAGTGAGTGAGACAGTGAGTGAGTGAGTGAGTGAGTGAGTGAGTGAGACAGTGAGTGAGACAGTGAGTGAGTGAGACAGTGAGTGAGTGAGACAGTGAGTGAGTGAGTGAGTGAGTGAGTGAGTGAGTGAGTGAGTGAGTGAGTGAGTGAGTGAGTGAGTGAGTGAGTGAGTGAGTGAGTGAGTGAGTGAGTGAGTGAGTGAGTGAGTGAGTGAGTGAGTGAGTGAGTGAGTGAGTGAGTGAGTGAGTGAGTGAGTGAGTGAGTGAGTGAGGCTGTACCTTGACGACCCTGACGTTCCGCTTCTTGTTGCTGATGGCATCGGGGATGTGGTCGCACGGCTCAGCCGAGGCATTGCGGGGAGAGGCGGCGGCGGAGGCGGAGGCGGCTGCTCGGGGGCTTCGGGACCCGACCCCCTGTGGGCTGCGGGAGGCGGCTCCCGGGGCGGGAGCGGGAGCGGCTGCGGCTGCGGGTGCGGCTGCGGCTCGGGGCGTCTGAGCTCCGTTGCTCAGCCCGTTCCAGCTCGGGGTGTCCGCGCACTGGTCGCAGCTGAGCACCAGGCTGTCCTCGGTCAGGGTGGCCAGCACCCGGTGCCAGCCCTCCCTCACCCACACCTCCAGCAGCCCACTCCTCTGCACCCTGCCCGCTAACGCCATCTTTGTCGCATTCTTAGAATACCTTGCGATAAACAGCCCAGGGTGGAGGGAAGTCAGGCACCGACAGAGAGAGAGAGAGAGAGAGACACACACACACAGAGAGAGAGAGAGAGAGTTAGAGACACACACACACACAGAGAGAGAGAGTTAGAGACACACACACACAGAGAGAGAGAGAGAGTTAGAGACACACACACACACACAGAGAGAGAGAGTTAGAGACACACACACACACAGAGAGAGAGAGAGTTAGAGACACACACACACACACAGAGAGAGAGAGGGCTGTAATTATTTCTCTCTCACTCTCTCACTCACTCACTCCTTCTCTCTCTCTCACACACACACTCACACACTCCTCCTCCCGCCGCCGCCGCCGACTAATCCTTCTGCTCGGATGATGTTCTGGGTGGAGCGAGAGCCCAGTGGAGTGGAGCAGCCGAAGCTATTCCCCCCCCACACACCCCCACACCCTCCACCCCGGGGGGGAGGGGGCGCTGGAGCTCACACTACAGCCCTTTTACTCTCACTTCTCTCTCGAAAAGTTTGGGGCTCGGGCTGCGATCTGGAGTTGTCCTGGTGTGTGTGTGTGTGTGTGTGTGTGTGTGTGTATGTGTGTGTGTTTTCTTTGCAGAGACGACGTCCCGAGCACAGCAGTACATACCTGGACCCATCCGTCCGGATGAACCGCACCTGTAATAATAATAACACGCGATGCAGATCGATCCGCACATCAGATCTGCAACTCTTCTGAAGGCTCAGTTGCACCGCAGCTTCATACCTCGGAATAACGAGCCCAGGATAGCACTCACTGTTAATGACTGTTGTTAAAGTAGTTCTCTCCCCGATTATATTATAATTCAGAGCTCTATTGCAATGCGACTTAATAAAAACATCTGGAAATACTGTAGTGTGTGTGTGTGTGGAGGGGTTGGGGTGGGGGGGGTTGTTTGTATTGAATTGTGTGTGGTGTGTATTGTATGTGTTCGAATTTGTGTGAATGTGTGTGTCGTTGTCTGTCCGTATCTGTGCTTTGTGTATTTGTGGGGTTTGTGGGGATGGAGAGGATGAAGGCAGTGAACACGAGAAATCCTTTCCTCCCACTGTACTCTAAAATCCATCAAACTCAACATAGCACTCAACGTAACCCACAGAGCGATGCAAACACACGACACAAATAACACTCAGTGGCACACAAAACAAGACAAGAAAACAGTGACTAGAACGACGCAATACACCAACTGGATGTAATAATTAATACAGGCATTGATGCTAATGATCCGGGCTCATTTTTGCCACATAAATGACACGAAGGTTACATTAAAGTCGAATCGAATCCTGCACAGCAGCTGTGACTGCTTTGGAAAGGTTGGGAGAATGCATACCTTCTTCTTTTTTTTAAAAAAAAGAAAGAATGAGTGCAGAAATGACTCAATAAAAAGATCTTGTTAAGATATATAAAGAGTTTTGATACATCGATGTAAAAGGGACTGGTGAAAATTAATGGAAAAGTACGGCTCAGGGTTTAACAGTGGTTGTTAAAGCACAAGACATCAAGCAAAGCTTTGCATTAAAGTGTATGCAATGGCAGATTGCAGCCCCCCCTCCACCCCCCCACCGCTGTAGGTAATAATAATCATATTACCAGATGACTGAACTTTCACAAAGTTCAAGAAATTTGCGTTCAAACGGTGAAATGTTGTGGAGGGTCTGAACAGGAAACAGCGACACCAAGTGTGTCTGATCACAGAGCTGCAGTGGGGAACACCACTGTGTTCTTCAGGACTGAAGGCAGCCATATACACTATGTAGCTGTGTTTTGTTCAGCCCTCGCTTATCTGTCTGGCCTCCTCCCCTCCTTCCTCTAACTAACCTTTCTCCCTTATCTGTTGTCTGTCCGGTTGTCTGACTTTCCCTTCCCTACTCTACCTGTTGTCTGATCACTGCCCTCCTTTACCTTTAAACACAACGCAAAATACTGCAGATGCTGGAAATCTGAAACAAAAACAGAAGTGGCTGGGAACACTCAGGAGAAAGGAAAGTGAATCAATGTTTTGGGAAAACTTTGACTGACTTTCATTCACCCACAAAATACACATAGTCACACAACAATAACAACAACTTGCGGTTACATAGTGCCCCTCACGCATTGTAGCATCCCAGAGCGTTTGACAGTTGTGGTGAACAATGCCACGGGCAGCGGGATATGACCGGAGGCACAGCTGAAGAGGAAGGTCTTCAGGAGCGACCTGAAGATAGGGAAGGAAGGGGCAAGGCGGTGAAATAGAGTTGAAGTGTTCCAGCGTTTCGGAGCATAGTGGTTAAAAGCACGGCTTCCAATGCTGGAATCGAGGTCACAAGGGACATGCAGAAGGCCAGAGTCAGCTGAGCGGAGGCAGCTGGTTGTGGGTTGGGGGGTAAGCAGTTTGGAGAGGTAGGGAGGTGCCAGAGCATGAAAGAATTTGAAAACGAGTGTGAGGATCTTGATATCAATCCTTTCGGTGATAGCGAGCCAATGGAAATTATCTAGAACTTGTGTGATGGGGTTTCGGAGTTTAGTGTGGATGAGTATGCAGGCGGTGGAGTTTTGGATCAGCTGGATCTTGTGCATGGTGGAGCTGGGGATACTGGCAAAGAGGCCATTTGAAAAGTCGAGTCGGGAGGTGATGAACGCATGGACGAGTGGTTCGGCTGCATCTGGCGTAAGGTACAGTCAGAGGCGAGAAATGTGGGGGAGGTGGAGGAAGGCGGTCCTGGTCAGGGACTGGATGTGAGGAAGGAAGGACAGCTGCGGGTCGGACCTGAAGCCTAGGTTGTGCACTGGTTTGGTAAGTCTGTGGGATAGGCTGGGAAGGTTGTGGAGATCAGAGCCATAGGATAGAAGGTTGACGGGAGCCAATGAGTATGGCTTCTGTCTTGTTAACATTTAATTGTAAAATGTTTTCGCTCATTCAGACCTTGTGGTCCGCCAGAAAAGCCAACAGAGTATCGGGGGATCTGGAGTCGCAGCTGGAGGAGAAGTAGATTTGGGTGTCATCTACTTACATGTGGAAGTTTATAGAGTTTGTGTTTGTGGATGACATCGCCAAGAGGGAGCATATAGATGAGGAAGAAGAGGGGGCCAGGGATGGAGCCTTGTGGTACACTGCAGTTGATCAGGTGAGGGTGGGAGGAGAAACTGTGTGAGGAGACAAAGTGAAGGCAGTTGGTCAGCAAGGACTCGAACCAGGACAGTGCAGACCCACTGAGGTGGATGAGGGAGGAGAGACGGTGGATGAAGATGGCGTGGTCAACTGTGTCAAACCGGCAGAGAGGTCTAGGAGGTCAAGGAGGCAGAGGGAGCCCTGGTCACAGAGAGAGAGGATGTTGTTTTTGACCTTGACAAATTCTGTCCTATGAAGTGCTTTGAGACGTCTCAACAATGTGGTAAGGCGCTATATCAAAGGATTATTGCATGTTCCTGAAACATGAAAAGTTGCACTTTGCAAAAATTATCACTAAAAAATTATAATGTTTCCTTTTGTTTTCTCTTGCAGAGAACAACAAGAAAGCCCATAACTGAAACTTGCGCAAAATATGTCACCTCACGTTTTAAGGACAATATATCAATCCTTTGTCCATCTCTATTTAAACATGACTTGTGTGCTGGCAGTAGCTATGCTATGAATGCTTAGTATTCATAAGTTTTGGTTTCACTGAGTAGTGTGACAATCAAATCGCTCTCTTTCCTCTCCTCAATCCATCCAATGCTCAAAGTAAATATTTTTTCTACTGTGGCCTGTCCTCTACAGGGTGTCAGCCTGGCTCAGCTGGTAGAACTCCTACATCTGAATCAGAAGGTTGTGGGAAGGTCACCACATTAGAAATTAAACCTCATAGCTCTAAACTGAAACATCAATGGATTGTCAGAAGTGCCCTCTTTCAAATATGATGTTAAACTGAGGTCTGCCTGTTCATGTGGATGTTAAAGATCGTGTAGCGTTATTCGAAAAGAGAAGGTTCTGAACAAATATCAATATAAAAGGCAATAATGTTCATATACATAACTAAAGGTTGGGCAAGTGTCCTGTCCATTAATTCCAGAGGTAAAAAACAACCAAATTACATTTATATAGTGCCTTTGAGGTCGGAAGGACGTCCCAAAGTGCTGGACAGTTAAGGGTTTGCACACAAGCTCCTAAGCTGGGGGTTGGAATCAAGAAGGGTGGGAGGGTAGCCAAAAGCACAATCAAGGAAGAAAGTATTGAAGCAGGTCTTGAAGGAGACAAGGGGTGGAGCGATTCCAGGATGGAGTTCCAGAGTGTGGGAGGACAGAAACCTGAAGGCCTGACCGCCAATGGGGAGGCAAGCAGTGCCCGCCGAGCAGAGGCGTTAAAACAAATGTTAAAATAATGAGCATTCACTTCTTTGCTGTTCCAGGGACATTGATATTTGCATATTGACCGCTGCATTTGCCTACAAATGGACTGTACACTTTATAGAAAACTGTATGAAGTGCTTTGAGACTTTTTGGCACAACACCAAATACAAGGATTGTTATTACAAATAATAGTCATGGAAGAACACATTTACATCCTTATCAGCCTATCTTACCATGCCTTAATATTTGCCTTTTTCATTTAGATAATAATAATAATTCTTGCATTTGATATGGCTTCTTATCACGTCTCCGAGAGGTCTCAAAGCGCTTCCCAGAATTTACTGTAAAGTGAATTGACTGTATATTTTGTGGGCGAAACGCAGCAGCCAATTGCACACAGCAGTGTCCCACAAACAGTCGTGGATTGAATGACCAAATTATTTTTATTTTGAAGGAATTATTATCCCCTGAAAAACAATTGACAACTGGGTTCCTACTTACTGCTAGGTAAACAGAGGAATGTGGCGTAAGGAAACTTGCCCAAACTTTAGTTATGTATATGTACATTATTGCCTTTTATATAGATACTTGTTCAGACCTTTTATATATCAAATATCAAATGACTATTAGCTGCTGACTTCTGTCTAGGTACTTACCAGGTTGCTCACATTAGGTGTTACTGTATTTAGAAATGCAAAACAAAGTTCTAACAACTTGTAGCTTTCATATCCAATAATATCTCAAACTGCTTTACTGAGGTTATGTGGCTTACTGAACATGATAGTAAATGGGAGGGTGGGGGGGAGGGTGGCAGTTTTCAGGGTATTTACCAAATGCATGGTCAAAGAGATAAGATTTTAGGAATGTTTTAAAATCAAGGTAAGAGGACAATGTGAGGGATTTTGAGAGTGTGTTTTTGTGAATCAGACACAGTGGAAAGGGTAAGAAACAATCCTTAAAGTATTTAAAGAATGTGTTTCAAGAACAGGCCCAATTTTTTAGCCACTGGGATTCAGGTCCTCCTTGATAAATAAATGCCGGTAAAACAAGTTCAAAGCTACAAAAATAACAAAGAGCCCAAATTAAGGCCAACATTTAGACAATAAGAT